TGGGGGGCTGGGGTCGCGTGGGGTCGCGATGTACACTCCATGGGGTCGCGAAAAAAAATAGGTCCTTTTTGGGGTCGCGAGCAAGAAAAGGTTGGGAACCGCTGGTGTAGATTGTTTCGAGGGAAGGTGTAACGGCCGTACAGTACACATGCACCGCCTCGCGGTGCGTAGAGCTCACTACCCGCGGGTACTAAGCGGGGTGAACTGCGGAGCGCGAGGGGTACTATACGGCAAACTGCTGGTGCACCGCGAACATGTCCCCATCCGTCTCTGTCGCACATTTAACGGGGCGAGCGCGTAAAGCGGCCGGGACCGAAAGTAAAACGGGTAAAACGTTTCGTCCGGCCCAGGCCACCACCACCGGGGTGGGGGCAAAGTAAGTGCACGGGGGAGAGAAAATGGGGAGCTTGGGGCGGGGAGTTAAACACACCGCCTCCTCCTACCCTCCGCACAAAGGGGCTGTTCAGAAACCACGTGGACTTTAGAGGGGGATCCAAATATTACGGGGTCCCAAGTGGATCAGGCAGGCACAGCAGTCAATGGAGACCAATAGATGTTACCATCTATTAAATTAATTTCTATCCAGAGTAGAGGTACAAATACTATGTTCCCTGTGGACTTCGCTATAATCGTCCCGATCTCTTGGACCGACCTAATGTCCTGAACAGCCCCAAAACTACGCCGCCCGCCAGGCACGTTGGCGCTCTCTCTCTCTCTCTCTCTCTCTCTCTCTCTCTCTCTCTCTCTCTCTCTCTCTCTCTCTCTCTCTCAGGCTGGCACTAATGAGCGGCCCCAATCACAGCCCTGGGTAGGCTTTCGCGAAACGCTATTGATTTCCTGCTTCTTTTTGCGCGAGCGGTCCAGGGGCAACGGGGGAAAGGGAGGGGGGGGGGCGTGTCTGTTCCATGGCAGCAAAGGGCAAACTCCCGCCGCCCAAAGAGGTGGGGGAGGAGGGGGGGTGCACGGGATGGTAGAGGAGGAGGAGGTGGTGTCGGATATAGCACAGACACGTCCATATCCTGCCTCGATGGTTTACCGACCATGTGTGGCGATTTGATAAGAGTTACAACCCCAACCTATTTTGTCAGGAAAGGCGGTTACTTGGGGGCATAAAGCATACACACTGTGTCGCGCTGCTTTTGCCAAGTCCAACAGACACGACAGACACACCTCAATATCCACGAACCCATTGCGAAGTGGAATGCCAAAACTGTCGAAAATGACGTGAAAGTGTTGTGTCATTTGTGTCACCGTCACATTGTTCTTCCCACCGACCGGGTAATACGGCCTCTGCTCTGTCTGCAGGTTCCCCGCGCGGTGAGGGCCGGCAGTGCCGAGGAACTTGCTCGCCAAAGGCGTCACGCATGGCTGCACATCTGGCGGGGTTTCAAATTCGCTCCAGGACCGACCCCTTGCGACACACTGACCCTCGCAATAAAGCAGGGCGTGACCAGGGTCGCGGCCGGCATCAAGACCACGGACCAGGAATGATTACTCCTGATGGTGACGCATGACCAACTCAACTCACTCCACCACCATCCCTTCCACCAACCCCCGCACCACGCTCGAGCGTGTCCAGAGATCCTCTTTTACCTTTAACCACGTAGAGTACCACGAAGTCATGGAGCTCGGTCTCCCAGATGTGCACTCCCTTGGGCACATACTCGTCGCTGTCCGTGTCCTGGTGCAGCATAAAGTCGTCCACGGCGGACCCCATGGCGGCGAGCAGGAGGCCGAGGCCGTCACCGAGCACTACACCAACACGACGACGCTCTTCACTGGCATTCGCACACGGGGGGCCCGGGGGCCCCACCTATGAGATCATCTCCACGTACGGAGCTGTGACAGGCTCATGGTCACGGCGTGTCTTCGACGGCGAGGTCCCGGTGCTCCCGGGTAGCAGCAGCAGCAGTTTTGTTGACGGCCAGGAGGCGCCGACAGGGTTGGCTCTGCGCGTTGGTCGGGTCGGCGCCAGAATGGCGTGTCAGCACCGCGACAGAGTGAATCACGTTGGTATTATCGTGGACAGTCCGAGTCCTGCTGGTCGCTTGTGACCGTCCTGCCACCAGCCGATCCACAGATAAGATTTAGCTTTGCTCGGGAGGGAGATGGGCTGGGCTGGGCTCGGCGGCCGTGCCAGGTGAGGTGGCTCGCCGCGGGCCTTTGGTGCCAATGCCAAAGATAAATAAAAGCTATACTACAACACAGAGGGAGAGGCGAGTCGCGCACAGCCAGCCCGCCAGCCAGGCCATTCGAGGCAGGCAGGCCGAGGCACATGACCAGACCCGCTCTCCCCCGCTCCCTTCCACTCCGTCTCTCCCGCCAAGGTCGCGGCGGGAGGGAGGGAGGACTGGGGGAGCGAGAGGGAGGGAGTGGAAGGGGGAAGTGAGAGGCGAGCGGCGGCGGCGGCGGCGGCGGCGCGCGCTCCGAAGCCCGATGCGCCGAGCCGAAAGTTGCCGAACGTCTCCTCGGCGCCCCGCCCGCCCCTCCCCTCGCCATCGCCATGTGGTCTGGTGTGCCTGTGCCATGGGCCAGGCCATGGGCCCGGGCGAGGCCCCCGCCCCCCCCTTGGGCCACAACAGCA